CAATATTGTAAAATAAATTGAATAGACGAGCGAATGAAAGAGACGTGTCACTTTCCCGGGAGAGTCAACGAATAATTATACAATAATACATAGAGAGCGACCTGTGATAGCTCGGCAGAGCTATCTGTACGCGAAACTCTGTCAACAATTAAATAAATTAACTAATGAGAATTCTTCAATGGCATTTTTTAATAACTAGACAACACAAGCGCGTGGTTCGCGCGCGCCATTTGCTCTCTCTAAAAATTCGCTGGCATGCTGCAAATAACACGACTGAAGCATGTCGTATCGCACAAGCGAGACAGCCAATCGGCATCTCGGAAAAGCGACGACAATACTTCGAGACTTTCGACTATCGACTTAGCACGCCTTTTTTTATATAGGGTATAGGGTACAGAAAATTTATTGATAACGACAAAACGCGCGCTTCGCGGCGCGCAGTTTGTGGTTGAGCATTGCATATTTTTACGAATTACATATATATAATGTATATATAATATACGTGCAAAGAAGCAATTGTATGCGCAATGTCAATTTAAAATAAAAAGTAATTTATCAATCGAGAAAATGTTTCGAAACAAAAATCGTTGTTACTTAAGTTCTAATTACTAAGATTAGAGATTTCACCTCAATAGTTGGTGTATACAAATGTATATTTCTAAATTGCAAATCTTCATTTACCACGAATCTAAAAGAGAAGTGAATCACACCGCGTTTCGAGAAAACCAATCGCGGAAAAGAGGCCTCAACTGTTCGATATTAACGACATTTGCGCTGGTAACATCTCGTTTTTAGAAAGGGATACCAAATTTTCTGTATTATTAAAAAATGCCAGGTATGTTCAAGAAAACACTGGCGTTGTAAATCAATTTGGTCAGTGGGAAATCTGTAAAGTGAAAAACTATCTTTGTGATAAAAACGTTGCACGTCGTTAGCGCGTACGTCTAATATGGCGAAGTCAATTCCAGCGATGATACATGTCGCATCAGCCCGCCACCTTCTAACACCAGTCTGCAGCGTCTGCCGGATGACGTAGAAAATCGCGCGAGAGATCTTCCGGCGAGCAGGTGGGCGTCGAAGGAGCTCGTGTTCCCGCAGCCGCGAAGGGCTGCCAGCATATTCTACCTTCGCGAGGAACGTCGGCGGATGCCAAGAGCTCGTCTTCGGGGCGGGCTCAAAGCAGCGAGAAATGTCTTCGTGGCCAATTAGAGAGGCGCGTGTTGGCAGATTGTAGCGCGAGGAGGTACAATGCCGCTCCGTTGTGCAGCAAATATATGTTGGCGACCATTCGACGCGACGACTTTCGAGTTGCGTCGCGAACGATGACTCGCGCCTTGATTTCATCGAAGCGGCAAAACGCGACGTGGCGTATCCCTATCTCATTTCAAATTCGTTTATCTAACAAGTCCCTTCTGGTCGATTTCTCCGGGACACTCGTCGTGAATAAACGCGGCTTCGAAACTTCACGTAGAGACGACGCGGACGAGGGGAGGGAAGAGAGGAGAAAAGGTGGCTGGCTCGGACTGAATTACCAAGATCCAGGATCCCGCGGCTCGATAACGTACGCCGGGTTTCTTAACTCGTGGGGATAGGATCGGATCGAGATTTGAATCACGTAGAAAACACGCGTCGGTTTCTCGCCCGCAGCTCGTGCGCGCGTGCGTTCGGGTGGGAGATCGGGTTGATCGCAGATGGCGGAGATCCCAGCGTGTACCGCGCTGCGACGGTAAGCCGACGTTTCGGATTTCAGGGCTTCCAAATCCGGCGTTTGTGGCGTTACGACGTGCCATCCACTATCCCGGGCACGGTCAGAGCCGCCATTTCGACGAACAAGATCCTCCAGAATGGAATCTCTAGTTTCAATCAGCTTCTAAATAATATCGTCGCCCGAAAATCCCGACGTCCTCCTAACATCCTGGTTTTTTTTCTCTCTCTTCTTAAATAAATAACTTGCCGCTGCAAGCCGCTCGTACGCTTCAGAGACCCCGAGAACCCCCTTCCCCTTACGGCGAGGAAAAGAAAAACGGAAAACTATTTACCCGTAAGCGTGACTCGAAAACCCTTGTGACCTAGTCTGGACAATGCGCCGCCCTTAATTCCCACAACGAGCTTGCGCCCGCGAGCATACCTGCATACCGAAAGCATCCCGCGCGCGATGTCTTCGGGTTCGATCGAGCGTGATGCATTTAAGGGTCGCGAGATGCACGGGGAACGGGGATGCGAGGGGGCGTGTAGTTGGAGAACGTATGTACAGCAGCTGTCGTGTCTTCCGAATGGCATTAATAGGTCTTTGTTTCGCTGGGTGGGAAGGAGAGAATGAGAAAGAGAGGGAGAAGAGAGAGAAGAGAGGGGGGGGGAGGGAGAGAGAGAGAGAGAGAGAGAGAGAGATATGCCCAGCGCGTTCGCGCGGCTCTATTATTCGAATGTGGAACAGATATCGGTTGTCGATATTGCCATTCGCCCGTCTAAATATCCGATCGATCGATCCCTTTTCTCGCGTCTCTGTAACCAGCCCGGCACCCTTCGCTCCCCGCCGCGGCCATTCTCTCTCCCTTTCGGCCTTTCTTCGCGCGTCTTCCGCCGACGGCAATTCCGTATTCTCGCCTCGACTTCCTCCTCATCTATTCTCCATCTCTCTCGCGCGCGCTTTCTCTCTCTCTCTCTCTCTCCCTCTCTCTCTATCTTTCTCTTTCTCTCGCCGCAGCCGCACGCTGCGAACGGCCGTTATCGTGAACGGCAACCCTAACTCGCGATAATGAGCTCACGTCGGCGTACGGCACGTATCGCTCGATCCGACAATGCCGAACGATCGTTCCCGCCGGAGACGGTTCCACGGCTTTTCTCTCCTCGCGCTGGATATACGTTAATCGCGCCAATGGCTCGGCGAAAGAAGCGTCGACTCGAACTACTGGAAAAGTTAACCGCGCGCCGTATCGCGGCCCGGCACAAAGTGCAGGAGATTCCCCGAGCGCTGAAAGCACTAAAATTGCGATATATCGCTTCGACGATTCGCCGGCTCGATGAAGACGCAATTAAGAGATCTTTTACAAATTGTTCGCGCGGCAGGAACAATTTTTGTTCGATAACGCGATTACATTCGCGACGTGCGATTCGTCGGACAATTTCAATCTCCCGGCCGCTGCGACAAACCGGTAAGGCTTTTTTTTTGTTAGAATGTTACCAGGACCTACACCACGGAGAGACGGGGAGAGAGAACAATAAAATCGAAGCTGCAAAAACGTCGCGGTTTGCGCTCGGGAATGGCGACGGGAGTGTCTACTCGCATTGATTATCGGGCGCACGATGAACCGATAAGTCTCCCTCTCGTCGAAACGGTAATTTAATTATTCCCCAGTCGCTTCTCCATTTCCAGCTCGCGGATTCCGCTTTCCTCGCGCCGGCGACACGATATCGCGACGCGCGTTATCACGACCGCCGGTCGGCTGCCGGCGATAATGAGCCCACGACGTCCGCCCGCACGCCGGCGGTCCACGGCGATAATCCGATCCCGCGGACACGGGGTGGAAACGAGAATACGGAGGCTGCGGAGAGTCCGCCGGGCGTGCCGGATATTCCGATCGCGGCGTGTATTGGCACACGATAAACCAGCGACAGAGCCGGCAGGCAGCTGCAACCGAGTCGAAATTGACTTAACTGCCATACGTATATATATCTCCCTCTTTGCGCGCGGCAGGGAGCTTATACGTGACGCGACAGTTTTATTCCACAAAAGAGTACGCTACCATATCGTTCGACAAGGGCGAGTTATCAGCGCACGCGGCGAATACGCGCTACCGCACTGGTCTTTTGAGGCTTTTCCTTGAGTGACGGGCTTCGCCTTTGCACGGTTGCAAGATTAAGATAAGCGTTTCTTTGTGTCATTCGATTTGAATTTTAGATACGCGAGCTGTCAGAAAACTCCCCGCGCGACGAGCGCTCGAGGAACTGATGGTCGTGAAACTTAAAATATTAGTTTCTTCAAATTGCCAGTGTAACAATAGAATTCCAATTTGGCCAGTTGTGGTCCAATGAAATTTGGAATTTTATTTCCATTATTCACCTACGACCTGACAATGGTGTAGAGATGTTGGAGGGAGGAGGATAGGGGATACTTAAAATCGCGTATCGACAGTTCTGTGTTACGGCCGACAACCCGAATCGGCGCGCAGTTTACGGTCGAAAAACGGACGCGAGGCTGCCATCTTTACACTGTTATTGCGACAAATATTACCACATGCCTCGGTGGTCGAATTGGTGATACGCCCTCCAACTGCCTGAATTAGCCCGAACAATTTTTTACTCGGGACCGTTCTCGAAATTTATCGTTTTTTAGGCTATCGATCAAGCGAGGTAGTATCGCGGAAGGAGACAACCGATACTCACTTGGGCCGCCCTTCGTTCATTGAAAATTCGAAAATAACCGAGAGAGATTGGAAATCGATGGCGATCACGGAAATACGTCGGCGCCTCGTCAAATCTGTTGCGCCGCAGTTTTCGCTCCATCCCGCGCCCCGCTTCGGGCTTCCGAGGGAGCAGTCGAGTGCCTCATTCCGAGCCATCGACGAGCGAGGGGGCGGCGGATTGCCGCACCGGGTTGGTATTTATTCGACGGATTATCCACGATTACTTGACTCGTTGGTGGCCGGCGAACTCGCACGTCCGAGTGTAGGGCTAACACACTGCCGAAAATTAACTGATCCCGCTCAAGAGCGGCTTGCGGCATTTTTGCGTGGCTCTCGCGCGGACGCGTCCCGATTGGAAAACGAAGCTGTCCCGTCTCTCGGCGAACGTCATTAACGCCCGATATCCCCAAAATGCGCGGTGGATGAACGAAAACTGACATCCGGCGAACGATCGTCGGCGTTCTCTCACGAGTCGCAGTCGAGGACAAAGATCGCGGGGCGACGCGTTGATCCGCCGGTTAATCCGAAGCGTTAAGCCGCACGGCCTTGGGCCTCGGGCGGATTAAATACGAAACGTATCCGACAGAAGATACTGACCGTGCTCCACGTAATAACTGGTCTCGTTGTACCGCTCGTCCGTGAATCCTGGCCTCTTCGCTTTCAGCGCTTTCGTTTCCAATTTTGCCTGGAACAAAGAACGCAGTAGATAAGTGACCGGAGTGGTCAGCCGCGGCTGCATGCAACTTCGCGGTATCCGGTATATATATATGGAATAACTGCGTCCTGTACACGGACGTAAAAGATATAAAACAATAGAATTTCGTGAGACAATGGCCGGGGCTTTCTGACGCTGAAAAAGGTAGTCAAAAGTGACGAGAATGGATAAATGTCATTCCGCGAAGCGTACACGTCGCGGTGATGACGGCGTGTGAAAGTACAGCGCGGCGAGGAGTAGTTACCCCTAGTTATCGAGTGTCCTTAACTCGGGGGAGAGCAAACTGTATTTTTGCGCCAGACGCGGCCGCGCTCCAGTTTTTGCTCCGCTGAATAATATCCGCGGCAAAAATCGCGGTTATATGCCGGATTTATGGCGGACCCGATTAAAAACGGGGATATATATGCCGGCGTTATTTGTCACTTGCGACTGAAATAAAGGGCGCAGTAGATAAGTGGACGAGCTAGTCAGGCGGCTGGCTGGCGGCTCCATACGCTCGCTCGCGGGAGAGAGTAAGAGAGAGAGAGAGAGAGAGAGAGAGACAGAGAGAGCTGACGTATGCGACGATAAATTTATCACACAAAAAATGCAGCATTTCCAGACAATAAGAGGGCACGAGGGGCCGCGACAACAGCGGGCGGCAGAAAATAGAAACTCGACGGCGCGGTTTCGCGCGCATTGTCGGTGGCCCGCAGCAACAAGCCCGGCATCCGGTTATTGAATTATCACGTGGACGATTTATTTGCGACGTTTATCTGCGAAGAAGAATCAGCGCGGGATCGGCCCGTCGAAGCGGATCGATCACGGGGAACGCAGTACGGTACGTCCCGGAAATGAGTGCAATATAAGATCGCGCGCGTTATGAGAAAGCGCCAGTGCGCACCGATATGAATCCCGATAGCGGCGGTAAATCTCTCGAACGACCGAAAGTTCCGTCGTCCGCGCCGCGAGACCCCCCCACGAAATTTTCTTAACGGCGTGAAATTTACGTGGCCGCGGGAGCGAGGAAGTCGGCGAAGGAATACCGGGACTAATTGTCACGTATAGCGAGAAACGCGCGAGCGCCGTAAAGGCCGAATCAGACTGGCAATTGCCGACTCGGATTGGATTGGATTGGAATTGGCGATCGACGATTGACCTCTAGCCAATAAGAGTGGATTAAATCGCGGGCTGCTTTGCTCTCATTGACTAGAAGACAATCGCCAATCCCAATCCAATCCGCGTCGACAATTGCTAGTCTGACTCGGCCTTAAGGCCGAGCACCGAAGCACACGACGACGACGACGACGACGACGACGACGACGTCGCGGGGCCGCCAAGAGTGCGACGTAACGAGATAAATGCACCTTTGCATAAACGTGGCATGACGAAGGCGAAACGAGAACGCGGCCGTCGGAGCCGCCGCGCCGTCGAGCGCGTGCGCTTAATTAAAAAGTAAAACGCCACATAGCCTCGCTATACGTGCACGCGCATAATGCGCGTGGCATTTTCGCCCGCTTTGTATCCGACGGGCCGGCAGCTTGCGTCTACGGTTTAACTCGAGGCTCGGCGGCGAACCGTGATACGGAACGTGCGATTAGCTCAAATCACCGACTCGACGGCCGAACGGCTCGGCCCTGCCCGGCATTCTGCCGCTGGATTCGACGGTCATTACTACGAGAATCGTTGCAACGTCGATTCGTTAATTCGAGCAGACATCAAGACCGCGCACGTCGCGCACTCGAGCGAGTCGCATGTCGACAAGTCGTTCTTCACATCGAATGCCTCTTGCACATGGCCCGTGTAGGGACAAAGCGACGGACGCTCAAGAGAGCGACAGCGGAGAAATCCCCCTTTCAAGGAGGGGGATTTCTCTCTCACAAAGGAATCATATTAATTAGATCGTTAATTAAAATTAATAACGACATCCGGCGCGCCGGATGGCCGCGTCCCGCTCGTTCGAAACAAACGGCGCATTACATTAATGGATCCTAATATCCGTGTACGCGACACGTTTTAATTAACGCAGACAATAATTAGTCGAAATCGCGGGGAGCATCGGCCGGCGGTAAATCGGATTATACAGGACATTGCGCGAATTTTCGATGGCACATAGTGGCGTGCGGTACGACACGGGCGACGCGGCGGTATCGATAGGTACGGCGGGAAAGACTCTTCTCTATGGGCTTTACGTGTTCATCAATAATTATCGGACGTTCCCGGCAGCAATGTAATTAGACTGCCGCAAAGATTCGAGCGAAATGGAGAATCCCCCTCGCGAGTCGTGGACTGTCAAAACTGTGGAGCGACAGCGACGCATTATCGTAAATTGACTTGCTACAGCAACAATAATTCCACGGCGCTTTCAGTATTTTTTGCAAAATTGGATGAGATATTAAGAATAATGCACTCGCGGTGTATTAACAGCTTAAGTACTCGACGATTTTTCCCCTTACCGAATTAACTCGGCTATAATCGTTTCGGCAGAGCGTTACACTGAATAATGCATAGAGCGCACAATCGCATTTTTGCACCGGTGCATCGAGTTACCGTTGCATTACTGCTAATTATAATAATGATCAGCTATTTCAACCCGCTCGTTCTCGCGAGAGCGAGATAACAGATATTAAATGGAAACATTTGTGAAAATTAATATGTATATTTATACGCCGGCGTATGCGCGCCGGGACAAACAGCCTGCTTCAAGAGTACTGCTAATTGCACCGTTTCGAAAACACGTTTCATTGACTAAACGATAACTTGAAATAATCAATTACACGGCAATTGATTGCGCGCGACAACGCATTCGGGGGCAGCAAAGCGCGAGGCAAAAACCTGTGCGACGAAAAGCACGGATAAAACGCTAACGAATCAAACGTAAAGTACGACGGAGGAAAACATAGGCGAGATTACACGGAGAGAGATATTTATAGCCTCTTCTTATGAAACCTTATCAGTCGCTCGCGATGATGAAAAGTCTTGTCTGCCAATTTATGATCGGAGCCCACGTGTTACGGGAGTAAATTTTTGTCGCGGCAATATCCGTAATAAATTTCGTTCGCGATGCGTTACGTTGCTCCGACAGACAGGCGGGCAGTCAGCCGGTTCAACTTGACGCCGAACTCCAGTCGCGTGTCCATTCAATACGCTTCGAGACAATTAAAAAGTACAAAATAATTCGCCGCCTCGTGAAAAATAAGCCAATCCGGCTCGGTCGAGTACCTCGTTAACCGTAGCAGGGGGTGCTCGAAATTTTTGCTTAAATAATTAACGCTCCCATTACGTATTGTTTGTGAACTCGGATGAGAATGTTAGTTACCGCCGCAAATTGCGGAAGCGAATAAGGCCGACCGCGACGTCGACGACGACGACGACGACGAAGACGACGACGAGAAGAGGAAACACGAGATCCTCCAGACTTACAAAGAGCATAGAATTGCGAGGCGCGGTGCACGAGGGGCGAAGCGCGAGGGCGAGGAGCAAAGCGAAGACGAGCAGACGCAAGGGGCAAAAACCACCCTAGACCGAGCCTCGGTTTCTACGTTTAAGCCCCCTCGTACGACGATATATCCTCATCCGCACGAATTTTCGCGCCACTCGGCTCGCTCTCTGGACTTTCGGCTGTATCGACCGGCCCTAAAACATCCCTCCCTTTCACTCTCCAGCCTCGAACGACCGTCCGCGCCCCGCCTATGCCCCTGCGGGTCTGTTTCCATCTCCGTCCGCGAGCGACGGTCTCACTTGCTCCCGGGGCGGAGGAGGCGATCGACCGCCGTTGCTTTCATCGTCCGAAGGTTTCCGCCGAGTCCCTCGGCTTTCCTTCCGCCGCCTCGCGCCCTCCCGACGTGCCATTTAGGCCTGCCCTTCGCCCTCAGACCGCCACGCCGTACGTCGTGCTTCTAGAAAACGCAGACCCTCCAGCTGCCCCCGAGCACGAGGCGGCCAAGATTTATTTATGCTCGGCGGGATTTATGCAGGAGGACCTCTTGCAAATGGAATATGCGCTGTAATATCGAATGTGAAACCGCGCGGAATGCACGGTGGGGGAAGACAAAGAGAGGGACATGCCAGGCGGTGACCCGCGCTACGTGTGCATTCCGATTTCGGCGCGCAGCCGAATTCTACCGCATCGCGGACGCGCGTCTGCCTTTACGCGCGCGCATAGACGCCCGCGTGACACGCGCGCTGCGCGAGATAACGTGCTCATTCCCGGCCGCGGCGTAAATGGGGCACCAACGCGATCGTCTTGCAGCGATAAGATTTAACAGCCGTAAAATAATGACGGCGGGAGGCTTAATCGTCTCCCCCCCCCCTCCCCCCAAGTCGTATCTCACTTCGTCATCGAGTTCGCTCTTTCTTTCATCGCACGCGTATTCCCGGGTTTAATTTACGACGCGCGCTGCAACAGAAGAGAGAGAGAGAGAGAGAGAGGGAGAGGGAAAGAGAGAGTCTGCGCCACTTGTCGCGCGGACCCGGCGAGATAAATTACTCTCGCGCACCCCCGATGTAACGTATCGTCTACTTTAGCCGCGAGCGGAAACGCTTCTTTGGCCGCGACGCGCAAAGAATTCCGCGATCCCGCGGCGAGGTACAAGACGAAGTACGAGGGAAAGGAGTAAATCCGCGCGAGCGGTAACGTCGGATACTGGATACGACAACCAGCGTAATGTACTTTCTCGGCTCACGCCGGGTCACGCCGCTGCCGAGCAAAAAGAGTAAACGAAATGGAGAACGACCATCCAGCGCAAATGCACACACACACGTACACACATACGCGAGCGCGCGCACAAACGCCTCGAATCTCTGGCACGACCTGTCGCCGCCTGTTGCTGTGTACACGGTTGCTTGCCGCGCGACGTTTCCGGTAAGACGGTGATTTTGTTTCAACCGTTCCGCCGGAATCGATTGGACCCGTCACGTCTGATCGAGAGACGAGGAAACGGAGCGTCAAGTAAATCCACCTTTCGCGCTGCTTACTCATCCGTCGATTCCGCGCGGGTCGCGGCCGCCTCCGCCGCAGAAATAACACGCCGCGGCGCGCCGTGTATTTTCAAGCACGTCTTAAAATGCAGGGAAAACGACGCGAGGGCTTAAACGCGCCACGGAGCTTCGCGCCGCGATCGGGTTTACTTAGATCAATGGTGGATTAACGAGCCATTGCTTTGCCCGAAGTACTCGCTCGAGACTCTTAAGCGCCCGCCCCGGGCAATTAATTTCACGGCTATCTTAGCTTAACTCGGAGCGAACTGTAAACTACTGTTGCCCGAGCGCGAGAAAAAAAATAAACAAGCGACTGTAATCACGTGTTTAATCGCGGGGAAATGACAGGGAGGAGGGGGACGGAATAACACGCGTATCTCTTCTGCGAGAAGCGTCGAACAAATTGATTTTAGTTGATTTAGCTATTTTTATACGTGATGTTTCCGGTCGTTGCGGCCGGCCGATTGGACATCGTCCGCTCGATCGCGCGTTACACTCAAAAAAAAAAAATGCCCAGTGGTCGAATTGGTGTGGACGCCCGCCTAGAGCGTAGGGAAGTCCAGGTTCAAACCCTGGCTGAGGTAATATTTCTCGCAATAAATTTCTGTAATTGGAATTTGCCAGTTGGCGAGCGTGGCGCAGAGAAATGTGCGCTGCTTAGTGAACAAATGCGCGAAAAGATCCGAGTTCAAATCCACGGACACCGCTGGTATTTTTCGGTATCTCCCGAAGGGAAGTGGCAACCGAGAGTATCTTGTCACACACACACACCCTTTTAGAGGTATGGCCCTCCAGATGGGAGGTTTCCTTCGGCAAGGTTAGCAGCCTACCGAAGATGAAGTAAAACCAAATTACTCAAACCAGAACGAGAACTGGATAAAACCGGCTTTAAGCCTAATACGCGAGGAAGAGGAAGAATTTGCCAGTTAGCGTCGTTTAATAGTTATTCTACATTGGTTAATCGTGTACTGGAGTCAAATAATTCTTTACGTCAAAAAAATGTCTTACAGGTAGGTTTCTAGATGTTGCAAATTTGTCACTATTTTGCGTATCTGCTGGAAAATTGTTTGTAGCCTACAAAATTTATAGCAGCAACATTCTACAATAGTATAAGTTTAGTTTAGTTTAGTTTCGTGACTAAAATTGAACTTCGGTACCTAGAACTAGCCTTGTAAGGCCCGGTTTCACCAACGTTATTCAACTGCAAGTTCAGCTTAATTCGTTCCTTGTCTCTTTTCAACTGTTACTTTAGAAAGAGACGAACACAAATTAAACTAACAATGAGGTTAAAGTTAAGCGACGTTTGGTGAAACCGGGTCTAAGGAGTATAACTGTTTATCTACCGCAATCAAACGTTACAATGGACGAGCGTCACAGAAAGACTTTCTTCCTGACATTCGCTAACAGTTCGGCTAGAAATTCTGCTTCCGTTATTTAAATTGATTAAATACAAAGCATATGCGATTTCGCAGTAATGGCTATTCGTTTATATATCTCAGTTATGTTTTCGTACCCAGAAATTTGTTGCTGCAGTTGCAAGATTATTTTTTTGAGTACACGTAGGAAATCTCGAATATGTAACGCTCGCTCATGACCTTATTTACAACATATAGGTGTTTAGATTAGATGGACAAGCGGTCGTTGGTCCTACCTGTTTGTCCTGGCTTAGTTACAAAAACATTTAGAGACGGGGAAGAGAGAGATGACGAGCGATTGCTGGCGGTCAAAAGATCGCGAGAGAAGTAGTCGAGACTCCGAGCGATAAAGACGTATATTTTTTACATCGCGTACTATTCTATCGCGATTATTACGACATTGTTAATTCTCGCCTCGCATCGAGGAGGCGGTCTCGTAATCCGCGCCGTAGCTAAACGCCAAAGGCCATCGGCGACTTCTTGCAACGGCGACTATCGACAACTCCGGTTTCTCAAAGCGCGACCCGACTCGCCGCCTCTCGGCCGCGTTTATTTCGTTAATGAGCGAGCGAACGGGCGGGCAGATTAATGAGGCTGTGCCCCGCGGCCGACGCGCCGAATATCGACGAGGACGACCGAGCTACGCGAGCGGCGAATAGATGGTGGGTGGATACACGTGATCCTCTCCTAACTCTGACCCGCGACGTCCCTCCCCTCCCGCCCTCGCTGAGTTACGAGGGCTTGGAAACGGACATCCATATATCGGAGCTCTTGGTTAACGGTACGGCCGCATAACGCGGCGTTAACCGACGCGCGAATCACCCGGTGATCCGCGGTAACAGGGCAACGATGCGATTCGGGGGAAGCATATGGAACGGCGGGAATAGCGATGCGTCATACCCGGGGATCGATATAGAAAGCCCTGGAAACGTAATTCCAAAAATCGGTTCGGCGCACGCGGGGCCAACGAAGAATGGAGCTTCTCCAACTAATTGAAGTTCCCGGAGAGAAGGTCCCGAGCGAAGCTCCCTCTTCCCCCCCCCCCCTCTCTCTCCCTTTCTCTCGGAATCTGAATACCGAAGTGGTACTCGTAATACCCCGCAAGTAATTCGATAGTATCCTTGAAGGCGTAGGCGTACCCGTCTCCAGCTTGAAAGCGACCTCTCCCCTAATATCGCGGCCGCGCCGTAATCTATTAAATCGCTCCTCAAACAGTCCGGGGCGCAAACAAGCCGAATATGTTTACCTTCTTCAGATCCTTGCTGGCATCGGCGTCCTCGGCTTTTCGCTTCTCGGTGATCTTCGGCGCAGGGACCGCCACCGCCGCCTCCCGCAGGGGTTTCAAATCGACCTGCAACGAAAATAAGTAAACCTCATTATCTATTCCATTGCTCCCTCTACACACGCCCGGACCGGCGAAAATAGCGTGGCCTTAATTTTCACAATATCCTTTTTTCTTTAAACCATCTCGCGCGCGCGCGCGATGCTTTAACGGGCCGCGGGATACCGGTTGTGATACAATGGACGCGGACAAGGCATCATTGGTCATTGTGCATCCGGATGTTGCCGTTGATGTTGCCGCAGGCGCAGGAGCCGGGCACGCGGCAAGGGCACGGGGACGGGCATCGATTTATGGTAATTCGGTTAACTCGTCTCTATTTTACGCGCGCGTTTACGTTCCACATACTAATCCGGCGTTAATGGGACGAGTAAATACAGAGAGGGCAGAGTGTGCCCCCCCCCCCCCGCGAGTCCGCCGGAGCTTGATTTGCCGCTTGATAATTCGACACCGCTACGCCCGGTAATGACTATCCCTTCGCGTCGATTTGCGAAAGGACAGGCGGGACGGACGGAAGGACAATCAGTCGATCGAGTGATTTGCATCGGGTCTTAATCGGTGTCGTGAATATCGGCGCGAGACACCCGCGAGGAGCCACGCGCTTCCCCGGCACACCCGCTCCGAACGCGGCGGAGTCCGATGGGGCCGGGCGTATACGCCGGAATTGGTAACCGCTTCGCGCGCTTTCGTTTCCGGCGTATATATAATTTAGCTTTCCTAATTAACTTAAGCGACGAACGTGAAGTGTGCTCCTTTCAGCTCCACTTTCCTACGCTTCCTGCATTTAAAGCGAAACAAGGCGGATACTCCGGGTTGGTATAAGAAGAAAGGGGGAAACAAAAAGATTGAAGGTAATTGCAGGAAGTGCAGCTAAAGCTAAAAGACTTATGGTGTACGTGGAGGAATTTTAGAGTCCAAGAGACGCCCCGGGTGTCCCTCGGAAATGTAGATGCAGTTCAACCGGGGGTTAACACAATTACGCAATCGCGTGTCTCGCCATTTGCATAACGAGGAATTAACGGGATTACGTCGCGTGTCCTATTAGCCATCCGTAATCCCGTCGGCGTGAGATCTGGATTATAGACACTCTTCTATGATTCAAAATTGCAAATACGAGTCCGTGGAAAAACACCGGGCGGAAAAGCGAGAAAGGAACGACGTCGGAACGGAGGGAAGAGCGCGCGAGTTAAATCGCGACTCGAACGTTTCGAGATACGCGAGCTTAAACGTCAAACGGGGCATTCGAGGGAACATTTTGCTGCGGTATCATCGCTACCGTGGTCCATCGAGTTCTGCGGCCCATTACGAAATGCACCGCGAACGCGCGAACCGCTCGCGGTTTTCGCGAGCGTGCATCGACACCGGTGCGTGCGACCGACAAATGACGAACGCGCGAATCCGGATGGACGAGCTATAGTCCGCATGGCTGACGCATCGAATCGAGATCGAGAGACCGATCGGACACACGGGTGCCGTTCCGCAAACGTATCGCCGCACATTCGGTGCGAATGAGGCTTTAGGGTCGCTAGGGTCGCCCCTGACAACGCCCTTGCCTGCATTGCGGTAGCTCTTTCTCTCCACCCTGACGATATCCTTCCACCATGACACACACGCCCGAGGAAAGAGTCCTGCGAAAGAGCAACGGGTAGATTCACACGTTCTCGGCGCAGCCAATTATTTGGAATCGCGCACGATTAAGCGATTCGCCGAGTCGCGCAGTAGTCAGCGAAGTATTAAAAAAAAACGAAACGATACAAATGACACGTCCACAGTCGCGTCGCGGACGCAGACGTTTCCGAAAATAATTTCTGCTCGTCTGGGTGTCTTTCGCGTTTCGCGCTTTGATTGCGGCATTGGCTTAGGCCGGCGATTCGTCTCCCTTAAAATAGCCGAAAACGCGCCGCAAACAAGACTCGAAAGCTCCCATTTTCACGGTACGTGACTGCGGCCGCGTCTCATGTGCACGTGTGTGCGTGCACAGCCACGTGATGGGTTGGAAACTTTCTTCCGCGGGACGAAAAAGAATGATGAATAACCGCTCGACATGAAGGTTCTCCCCACCCGCTGCGCTCCGCGGAGTGGCCCGCTATTGTTGCGTCACGCTTCCAACAATTGGACCCTCCCCGTGCAACGTTGATTTGCATTCGGGAAAATTTCGAGGGGGCCAATCGCGAAAAATATTTGCCGTCGCGAAACGCGCTTGACGGGAAGCTCCAGTTACATAACAACGATATAATGAGAAGCTTACATTATACTATATTTATCGAACTGAAATCTCGCGGAGGAGACGATTCCCGAGGTAAAGCGACCGCCGGTCTCGTCACGCCGGTATTTATGAATAAATCCGGGGGAGCGGCGGCCGCAACAAAAGGGACGTGAGCGTCGCTTTTCTTCGGGAAAGCGGGCCACCCCATTGGGATTCATCCATCACCGGCGATATAATTGAGAAAGCAGATCGCCCGCATTCAGGATTTACATTTTCAGCGCCACCGCTGGAACTCAATTTACCCGTTTATCCGCGCGTCCCTCGGACGGACGGACAAGCGAGGTAATACACTTCCGAGTCATTAGCGGGGGAGTCCCACTTCGTGCCCCGCTGATGCCGCGAATTTTTCACCAATTTCCGCCGGCCGACGTTTCGCCGGCCAAATTGCCGTGTTTATCGGCTCACGTTTCGCGCCGTTCGCGAGATGAAAATGCGCGCGATATTTCCAAGGGCGAAGCGCGACCGCATTAACAATGTTAGACGCGAAACGAGAGCGCGCGTAAATACCCGTATATAGAGATTTCTAGTGTCTTACTGCGTGAGAATCACAGACTTCCATACACTACCATAGTATAACTAGAGTGCCTACTGTCATGTGTTTCGCTTTGCGTCGATTCTTTCTGCCATGGAGTCTGTATGGAGACCGAGCATTTTTTAAATATTCGCCGAGAATGTCTTTGGAATATTGGTTCAGAATAATTTTTTAATATTCATCGAGTTTATGTATTGCACAATGTTTATTGTGTAATACACTTCTCTTGTGCAAAAGGCAGTGAAACCAGTGATCGTACCATATGTATATAACCGACACGCTATATTCGATGGATTATTCTATTCGCATTCGAAAAAGATTTATAGTAGTGCCAGTCGAATATTCCACGAGGATGAGATAAATATATAAGAATGACCTATGGAATATTCCAAGTATTCTTGAAGAATATTCTTCAAATGTTCAGAGTGTCTTGTGCTATCTAGGTGCAGACTCCATGCTTTCTGCGCATCCGCCATTATTTTGGTGGAGCCAATGAGACCGATGTCGTATACGTGGTAGTGTGGCAGGATTTTACACCAAAAACCTGGTGGAATACCACGTGATCGAAACCGAAAAGATCAAAAGACTGACAGAGAGTGGGATACAGTAGAAACATACTGCTTAATTTACCTAACAAGACATGGCGTCACTCTCGCCTCACTTTTCAGTTCGAAGGTAGCAGTCTAGCGGTATACAGGGTGTTTCAGGAAGAAGGGTCAATATTCTGGGAGGTGATAGTATCGGTAATTTTAAGTAAAAATGTTGATACGAATGTATGTCCCATTCCCCGCTGTTTCCGAGATAGAGCTATTTGAATGTGCAGTCGCAAAATTACTGACAAGAAAGAAATACGACGTACCATTTCAAATAAGACATTTTTACGGATTATAATAAATTTTCCAAAAATTTCACCGTTAACAACAATGCATTTTTCAACTCTTGCCTGAATGGCGTGTTGCTCGTCCGAGTACGTCGTGACGTTCCTTTACATTTCGAGCATTTCCACGATGTTATCAGCACAACGGTCAACAGACGTATAAGAGTAAATTCCCGCAGACGTTTATGAGGTTGGATGAAGGGTGAAGGGTACAGAGAAAAAGTAAATACGCGAGACATTCAAGTGGCTCTATCTCGGAAACAGTGGGGAATGGGACGTATATTCGTATCAACGTTTTTGCTTAAAACGACCGATACTATCACCTCCCAGAATATTGACCCTTCCTCCTTAAAACACCCTGTACAGAAGTCTGCGGTGAGACCGTCAACCGTTCGGTCTACTTCGGAAGAATGAACGGACGACCGTAAGAAACGACGATAATGCGCAATTGTAGCCGTGTACGTAATAAATAAAGGCAACGATTGCTTTTTTAGCCAAGTGACCGCGCGCCACTTCCATCATCCTTGACTGCAGCCGTCACCCAGAGATCTCTCTTTCACCGCCTTGACCACGCGCGGCGTATACGCCGTGCCTCAATTAATCGCGCGCGCGCGAGCCGCGTTACGGTCGACATTTAATCGCAACCGCTGGTCGCGTGTAACGTTTTAGCGCCGGCTCGTTTACGCGTTTATTACCGTGTCTCGATACACAGCGTAATTCCGAGATTGACGTTTCCGGCGCCCGATGACGAAGAACACGCGGAATTGGGAAATGAGCTTGGGGGAGGAGGCGCTCAACGGTATGATCGAACGGTATTATTATTAAGTCGATTATCATGGCAATGGATCATTTCATTAACGACCGTGAGTGCGTCCTCCGGTAGCGCCTTCGTGAATATTTCAAGGTATGCATGACTGGCTTAATGATTCCTGACGATAATAACTCGTCGCCGATTGATTCAGTACCGCCGGCGTCAAAAGAATTAGCGATTAAAACGTACGCGTTGATTATGGATATGGAGAGATGAAAGGAAGCATTAGCTGTTACAGCGACCGCGGGATTTCGCGTGAAAAGAGAGCTCGGAGGCCCAATATTTCAACGGCCGGTTCGATCGGCACCGAGGAAAAAAAAAAAAGTTTGTCAGGTATCATCGAGCCGCGTTAATTAATAGTCGCTCCGAGTAAAACGGCCATCCCATCGGCAACGGCAGCAATAATAGCCAACCAGCGTGACAACGATTTATCATTTACTGCGCGCTGCACCATAACCGGGCAATCGTTAATCTTTATCACGAAGAAACTCGACACACTACGAGCTACATAACAATAATATTAATG